CGTATCATAGCGCAGGCTAAAAAAGCTCACAACCTTCGAGGTAAGAAAAAGAAACAATGCCAAGAAAGGAGACAGAAGTGGGGATCAAAGGAGAAAGGTAAGAATCAACTCTGTAGTGGAATGTAATCTGTCTGTAAAGGATTCATCAAGTAATTACCCTGTGTCCCTTTGAAAAACTGCTCTTGGGGTCTTGCCCCAGGTTTGCTGCACTATATTCCAAGCTGTCATATCTCTTAAACGTGAGACCTGGTGCTAGCATCCCTTCTTCCCCATGCTCATTATGAGCTGGAGCTAAATGCATGCTAACAAAGGACGCAGCCACTGGGGAAAAAAAAAGCTGTGACTAAGCCCCTCTGTTCTCTTAATGATTGCCTTTGAGAACTTCTCCAGTTTTGCAGAGAATCAACCGTCCAGCCAAAACCTGAATGCTGCCTACAACTATACAAGCAGAAGGAAAAAGAAAACTGGATGCAACAGCTTTTAAAGCTGGTATATCTGTTGTCCAGAAGCAAACTGGAGAAAAAAAAATATCATTGTTTTTACAAGTAAATTGTAAAAATATTGGCAGAATAATCTCCTCTCCTCTTAGCCACTTAAAACTTTCACAGTGGTTTTAGCTGTGTGGTGTGTATTCCCTAGGCTTAGACTTAAGAAAATGCTGCTGCAGAAGGATGACAGAATTACTGCAATCTTTTTAAAACCGCTGCTCGGAATAACACAGATTCAGATGCGGCAGTTCTGCAGCTGGTGGGACAGGAGAGTTTCTTTTCTAAAACTTGAGAGAAAACGAATCTGGTTTAACTGCGGACCCTGAAGGGAAAGGGAGAACTTGCTGCTTACCAAGATAGGCACCCCAGTGAGTGTGTCATACAGGAAGACAATAGCACTTATGAGGTTGGTCATCTGCAAGGAGGTCTTGGCTGACTCAGAGCCATCCAGTGAAGACCTCCTTTTGCCTCGTACATCCTCCACCACAATGGCTGGCACATTGAAAGTGGTGTGTGCTGATGAAGAGCAGGATGATGCTTCCTCTGCTCTCTGATGATGGCACCGCCGGCGTCTTCTGTGTGCCCACAGGGTTTGGTAGAAAGTGATACCCACACACACCAAGCCCATGACGATTCCTCCGAGCAGCAGGAGGCTAAAGCAGACACCGAAGCCTAGCCCTATTTTGCTGACAATGAACTGGCAGCCCCGGGCATAGTAGCGCTCGCCGTTGTTGTGCCAGCCGATGGAGGGCAGGGTGGAGAGGATGAATGACACCATCCAGATGCCCATGACTGCGTGCAGAGCCTGCTTCTTGGCATTGCTCAGGCGGTAGTTGACTGGCCATCGCACCATCCACATCCGGTGGTAGGACAGGGAGGCCACTGTGAAGCAGGTGGCCAGTGCCAGGGTGTAGTATGTGGAGACGAAGACCTTGCAGATGCTTTCGTTCCAGTCATAGTCAGAGGACTCGCGCCGCAGCTGCACCACGGCATAGGTGGTGAGGGGTACTGCTGCCATAAGGATGTGGGTGCCAGCAAGGAAGCATAGCAGCAGCTCCAGAGGCTTGTGTTTCTGCTGTTTGGCTGTGATGCTGAGGATGATCCAAGAGTTGGCCAACAGAGCTAGCATGCCACATGCCAGCCACCACAGTGAGTTGTTGTGCAAGGTGGACTCTGAATCAGAGTCCCCCATGCTGCCACCCCTGCTAGACTGTACCCTGTCCCTGTCGCTGGGGTTTTGTAAGAGGGTGAGCGGGACTCTGCACTGGCAGAGCCACGTCCCTCCTCATCTGCTGCTGCAATGCGAGTTGTTTGCACGCTGGAGGGGTTCCTCAAGGCATTGCCACCAGGTGCCAGGCAGAACAGCCGTCAACTCTGTCTTGCTTTCAATCCTCCCTTTCCCTCCTGTTTGATTATATTTCCTTCCCTTGTTCTAACTTTTTCATCTGTTTTTTCCCTAGTTCTCTGTCTTTTTCCTTCTTCCACTTTCTTTCTCTCTCATGAATACTTGCCAGTGCTTCTTCCCTCACTTGCTTGGGCACACTTTTTTTTTTCTTCCCCATCTATTTCATCTCCCTCCTCCGCTCTTACCCCAAAGAAAAAACTCTCCTTACTTCATGTGACAGCCAGACACCTTCTGACTCAGAGACCACCTCCTACTGAGACTGGTGAAGGCCACACACAAGCAAGGACTTCTGGGGACTCCAAGTGGTTTGGTAGAAGCAAGTGCCAGCTGACCAGTGTCCTAGGGAATAAGCAGCTAGCCAAGATTTTCAGAGATGACAAGAGGGAGAACAAAGGTCCTGCAGAATTAGTGAGGGTGGAGCATACACTGTGTGTAATTCCCCTCTCACTAAATGCCACCACACTTGTGGCCCCGTAGAGGTTCCTGCCAAGGCTGTCAGAGAGCTACCAACAGAGAGAAGAGTTAGAAACAGGATTCAGAGGGTTCCCTATCCAAGACCTCACAGCACTCTCACTACATTGTCTTTTTCGCTGTCTTTTAGGGCTCAGCCTGGTCTTTCAAGCTTTCTTGTACACAGCAGAGCTGGCAAACAATGAGATGGTGGGGAGGGGAAGATCCTTTTCAAAGGTTCCCTTGGAGATTCAGGGCATGAGGTTCACTGTAGAAGAGAGAAAAGAGAAAAAGAGATTTAAGATCATTCTATCTCCCCAGATCTCTCTCTCTCCTTGCCCACACTAACACCTTGTCATGATTTAGACAGTGAAGAGCAGCTCTATGTCTTTCAAGGAACAGAAGAGCCAGATCTGCATCAGTCTCTGCATAGCTCAGGCCAGACTCCGTCCTGAAGCAACTCCATCCAGTGCTGCTGACACATATCATGCTCCCTGTCCTTCAAGTCTGAGGCTCCCTACCCAAAATGTTATTAATGCCATTTCTGACATGGAACACCTGATCTGCACCATCCCTTGCCATTGCCGTCCTGCCATTCCCATGTGTGCACTGCTACACTCCTTGTTTCTGCCATACAGCTCCCACAGTCTCTGGGCCTCAGCTTTTCTCTGCCAGTGCTCTGGATTTTAACCTGCTGCTCCCATCCTGTCCCATCCATGGGTGTGTTCCACCATTCTAGCAGTACCCTGCCATCCCACCGTCTTGAAACACAAGTCTTTCGGCCACACACGTTTCTGCTAGAGCAGTTCCAGTCTCCAGACACCCCACAGTCACAAACCCAGCAAACAAGACTGCTAACCTAGCCCTGAGAAAACTCGCCTTTGCCAGTGAGCCCTAGTCCTACCAGCTCAGACCCCCTCTTCAGCCTTCATCCATAGAGGACATCCAAGCAGTATACTCCAGGAAGGTATAGGCCTGTTCTGTGCCTTGACCAGAGCAGATGTAAACTTAATCTCTATGTGGATGGCTCTGTGCTCCCCCAGTCTGAGATAGTGGCTCAGTTCCCACCCCTCCCTTTCCTTCTGTTTCTCCCTATTTTCTCACCCTCTCTCTAACCACCTGAGGCATTTCCTCCTTTCCTCCCTGGAACAGTTTGCTATAACTGGGCTGGAGATGACCCATTCTGCCCTGTTTCATCTTTTCCCCCCCAGCACCACCACTCTTGCAGTTAGGCCTGTGGCCTCTGGAGACACTTACGGAGCTACCCGGCCCCAATAATACCAGGGGAACGAATTTCCTTGCAGCATCTCCTTCTGCTGCCCTTCCCACTCGGCTTGTTCTGGTGGCCCACACTGTTCCCTCTGAGGCTGAAACCCTCCTGCTTCTGCTGGCTTTGGGGCCCAATTCTGCTACAGGCTGTTGTCCTCCCCCTCCCGGAGACAGGAAAGCCCAGGTCAGGGAAACCCGTCCTCACCTGGCCCTGCTCCCCGGCTTCACCCCACCGCCCATCCCACCTGCGGGGCACACACTCCCAGGGATGGTGATGCAGGGGCAGGCGAGGGAGGGGGGCTCGGAGGGCAAGATGACCCAGAATGATTGCAAAGAAGCGCGGAGAAAGCCGGGGGTGCCGGGGGATGCGGCGGCCGGGCCGCGGTGCGCTGCTGCCCCGCCGCCCCTTCCCTCCGCCCCCCACTCGGCAGCCCGGGCACGGCGGGGGGTCCGAGCGGCGGCGGCGGCGGAGCCGTGCAGCCGGGGCTGGGCTGGGCTGTGCGGGGCGGGGGCCGCGGAGCCCGCGGGGCGCCCCGGGGCGCGGCCGTGCCCGCCGGCGGCGGCGCCGCCCTGCGCTCGGCGGAGCGGGGGCCGCCGGCGGCGGAGCGGGGGCCGATCGCGGCGGCGGCGGCGGCGGGGGCCGGGGGGACCCATCTTACCTCTCGCCGGAGCAAGCGCTGCCATGGCGACGGGCGCCCCGCGCGGCTGTGCGCGCCTCTGCCCGGCTCTGCCGGCCCCCGGCCCCGGCCGCCGCAGCACCGGCCGCCGCAGGCAGCCGCCCCGGCCCCGCGCTCCGGCCACCGCCGGGCGGGGCTCGGCGAGGGGCGAGGGGCGGGGAGTGCCGGCGGGGGACGGCGGCGGGAGCACCGCCGGGCCGAGCAGCCAGGGGGCGGGACGGGCGGACGGGCGCGGGAGCCGGAGCCGCCGCCCCGGCACCGGCCCCCGCCCCGGCACCGGCCCCTCCGCGACTCCCGACGGGCAGGGGTGGCGGGGCAGGGTGTGCCCGGCTGTGCTCCCGGAGCCGGTCTTGGTCATGGCCCAACCACAGCGGCTGCCCCTTGCGCGCAGTCCTCCTGCCCCACGGGGCGAGACGGGCCGCCACCGCAATGCCGCTTGCAGGACAAGGAGTTGCTGGGTTCCCGTTCCCAAAGAGGGTTATGAGGAGACACCCAGGCCGTAATAGATGTCGGGAGGATGGGGGGAAAGGCAAAGAGTTGCTGCCCACAGAGGTGCCTGCGAGGGGTGCTTGGAGGGCAGGGCGCCCTGGTGCCTCAGTTTGCATAGCTGCTGTGGTGGCCTCTTCCACCACCAACTAGCAGTGTAGTCCAACAAAGAGGGAAAAAGGGAGGGAGATAGGGCAGGAGTAGTGCTCAGATGAATGCATTGGTCATGCCAGAGGAGTAAATCTCCCCCTCCGGCTGTGTCACCTCAGCGAGGTCAATCCTGGCTAGAAGGTCTTCACAAGGCAACAGACATCTCATTTACCTGTTACTGTCTTGCTATTGAAGTGAAGGCACCAACACCCTCCCTGTCTTCATTCATTTTAGGACCTGATATATGCCAAAATCTCTGTGCTCCTTTCCTGCATCAGAATTGGTATAGGAGTCCATGTTTCTGGACAGTCAGGGTGCAGCTGCATTAGCACCTCGGTTTGGATCAAGAGAACCTGAACAATTTAGGTGAAAGGACCTGCAAGGTGTGCAGCAAATGTGCACTGAGGACTATGAGAATTCAGCTTTGCTTTGGGTTAGTCTGAAGTAAGTCCCCAGGCATTTACAGTATGGCCACAAAGTCCTCGTCATCAGATGTCTTCCTCTACCAATCTGCTCCTGCTCCATACCCTGTTTGCTAAAGTGGACCTAGAGATCCAGGGTCTGCTCAGTTTTATCACCCCCTCTGACAGGGCAGATTTCATATATCATTCTCAGTATTGACCGTGGTGATCCCAAGTTCCTTGGATACCAAGGAATTTCATCTGAGGTTTGTATGATCAGCAGAGGGAGAGAATCCTGAGTAAGAAAGCTGGAGGTACTGCTGGTTCTCAGGCTCAGGGACAGCAGCAAAGGCAGTTCTAGAGGTGTAAAAAAAATTTGCATTGCAGTAGCTGTTGTTATTGGGGCTTCTTTTAGAGACAGTGAGTAGAACAAGGAACCACTAGAATAGATCTGGCTTTGTGTCAGGTAGGTGATAAGAGATATTTTTGAAGAAGGTGGGTGATGATGATGCTGCCATACTCTGGCTATTCTTTGACATGCAGGACTCCCACAGCGGAATGGCCGCAAGGTGGTTCAGCTCAGTGGGCAGTCTACCTACAGCAGGAACCGGAGATGTGAGATGAGACAGTCCTCTGTCACTGCTTTTCAACCCATATAATTTGTGGGAGGTTTATGCCTTGAAGTAAGAAGGTCTATATCCACAAATGTAAACATTTTGCAGCTCCAATTGTGTCATTTGTGTGAATTGCTTAATGTGATAACTTCCACATTACATCCTCTTCTGATTCAGAAGTTGAGTCTCTTTAGCGTAAGTTGTTAGCCTGCCTGCGTGGGTGAATAAATCCTCTTGTTCTCAGCAAACCAAGCTTCTAGCACTTTCTGCACTGTCTGCCTGCCTCGGCTCTGCTCAGGTAGGGACATCCTGCAGCTGGATGACTGGGCTACACCTGACAGAGATTGGTGAGCAGAGCTGCATGGGGACAGATCCTCGTATCTCAAGGGGGCTTCTTGTGTTTGGAAATGTGTCTGGGTTATTAGTTTGAACGAAAGCACAAAATTGAAGATTTACTGTGAAATTGAACGAACTCTGTGGGAAGAAGAGCTTTTACCCCAGGGCTGTCACACTCCTAAGCAGATGCTTGTCCATCCACCCATCTCATCTAAATGGATTTCAAAGACTTCCTTTATTTGCCTAGGATTTCCAGACACCTGGTTTTACTGGTTTTCATAAGAGATGGGTTGCAACTGTGGATGTGCTGCATATTGACAATGCACATGCAAAGGAGCACTGATGTGGAATGTGGATGATGATCTGGAAGTCCTGAAGCCCTGTGGTGCAGGATTGCCTGTGTATCTAGGAAGTCTAGGGTAGAAAATGAGACACCCCCACCGACTCATCTCTCAGAAGGAGACACAGAGTGGGAGCGATTTTTAATTCCCACAGAGTCAGTCTGTACTTCGACCAGTGATCTGCTGTCTGAAGTCTCCGTAGCTCACTAAAATAGTCTAAGACATCCAGGCCTGAAGAAACACCACTGTTACAGTTTCAGGGTATGAAATGTTTTCTGGAAAAGTTCATTGCATAAAGATCAGTTATTTCTGCAGGTTATTTCTGAAGCTCTGCAGGTCCAGAGAAATGCTCTTCCCAGAGGTGCCTTGGATTCTTAAAGGAACAGGGCTCATTAACCAAGAAACAGCAGAATCCTAAAACCAGAAGCATTGAGACAGCCAAATGCACTTCATGGGGTTTTGATGGTTTGCAGCTCTTACTCAGGACTTTGATAGTGACCATGGGAGGTTTCATATGTTTCTCACAGATCATGGATGCAATTAAATCCATCCTCAGAGCCCCAACACGGCTTATACAGCCTCCTGTGAGGCTACAACTAGCGTGCTTGCAAGCAGGTTTCCTGGCATCTTTTCTGGCTCTCTGGGCAGGGTGTGGCTAATGGCTAAAAAGAATCCAGCCAAGCAGATACGTTACCATTTTCCTTCAGTGACAGTGACTGCAATGTAGATTTGTCATATCCAAACCTCTAGGTTCTATTTCTAGCACTGTACGGAAAGATTTAGTGAAATTTCTCGGATATTTCATCTGCAAAATGAGCAACTGATAATAGCTCACATTAGGGGACAGATGACTAGCGCTGGTCATGAGCTACACACAAATATTAAGAGCTTGCAATGTAAAATCTAGGATTCGAACTTGTGGATGCCTGCTTACCACTGAATGTTTTTCCTTACACAACTACACACCTTCTAAAAGATATTTTTTTAGCCTCTGTCACATACAGAAATGTTTGTGTATGATATTTTCCTCGAGAAAAGGAATTACCAGGGTAGGCTTATCAAATATATGATTGTTATGATGCATGCCATTTTACAGAGGTGTATATATCCTCTTGCATCCCCCGACCCCACTACCCACCTGTTGTAATGCTTTGTGTGTTCTTCTCTTCTGAGTGTTACTGACCCTTTTTTCATCCCTCCTGCCCATGTGGCATCACTGATAGCTCAGTGCAGTCTGTATTCCAGCAGAATTCCAGCCTGTAAAGGATGTAAAAATGTCATTTCAGAATTAAATTATGCTCCTTTCTCAAATTACTGAACACTTACTTGTTTGTTCTCATACACGAAGATAATTAGGAGCTCTTGAATCATTAATCTGGGAACCTATGAAGTCTGGAAGGAGCTGAAATGATTTCTTTGCTTTAAATTTGTAACACTGAATTGCAATTTTCATTTTACCACCTGTTCCTCTAGCTTCTGTAGGTATGTTTGAGGTTTCTCAAGACCAGAACAATTGTTTCTTAATTAAAAAATAGACTGGCCTTCCAGGAGCACTGCTGACATGCTGGATGCAGCTGGCCCCTGCCAGGGATGCTCTCTGGCTCCCCTAATTGTTTCAGGTGCCGTGCTGGCCTCTTCAGTGCCATGGTCCCCACACAGCCAGCATCACTGTTCCTGCTGTTCACCTTCAGAACCTCATCTCCACACAGCACACAGACAAGCTCAGAGGAGGGACTTCCCAGCACTGGAGTCTGAAACAGGACCTTGACACAAGCCAGCTGGTGCCGAAGCATTGAGTGTCTGGGGTTTCTCCTTTCTTCCCTTTTGATTCCTTGACAGCAAGCCAATCTCTGTCACCACCTCTGTTCCTAATTCTGCTGTTCTTTAATTCTCCAAATCTGGAAGCACCTCTAAGACTTGGCCAAGCTGGCTAGCAAATGAACAGGAGGAGAGCCAAAGGCTTCTTCAGAGGGGATGCCAGGGAAGGATGCTGACATGTGTGAGGCAGAGGCTGTGGTTTGGAGGTGTTGCTCAGAGGTGAGTGCACTAATGAACCCTGGGCTCCCTCCTAGTAAACACACACTTGGGAATACTCTCAGAAAGGAATCAGTCCAGAGCTGAGCATCCTGGAAGGGTCTGGTACTCCAGCTCTACCCTTACCTTTGAGAAGGGTGGATGGAGGCTACTCTTTCTCTGTAGCTTCATTAGGCTAATAAGCCTTTCAAGTGGATGCTGAGTACTGTTCTCTCCCTCTCCTTCTGCACCCCTCCAAAATAAAAAGGAGTTAGAAGAGGCTGAAGTGCACAGATTTCTCCCTTGTAGACCTTGGGAACATGCAAAGAAACACACAGGGTCATTTGGCTCTGAAGGCTGAGGGATGCGAGTGCTTTGCTGCAGAGCCTGCGGGGAGCATGAGTCACATGGATTGCCTCGGCAGATCCGGGCTGACAGCATCCACCAAATCACTGCCTCACGTTGCACTCAAAGGGCAGAAATAAACAGGGAAGCAGGAGGGGCTTGGAGAGGTAGTGCTGTGGGCCGGGGTTATTTCAGCCCACATGTTTCTAGATCAGCAGAACTGGACAGGGCGCTATATCCTTGTGTCCAAGCCCCTCCCTCCACCGGAGCAAGCAGGTCTGTGGGTCCTGACAGAGGACCGTGCATTGGAGGTGTGTTCAAAAGGCTGAAGCATGTGCTCTTTCCCTTCTCCAGCCCAGAAACATGGGGAATAATAGT